TTCCTTTCTTATGACTGAATTGAATCCACTAATCAATCTTACAGCTGTGAATAACTAGGGAAATATAGGAAAGATAATTTTTGCTTATTTATATGACGATGGTTCATTCACTTATGGCATATTTATTTATAAAGTTATATTTTCTAGTAAATGACTTGCAATAAATTGACAGATCCATCAGTGAGGTCTGACTTGTTAATAGTTAAACAATTGTTTTAACTAACTGATGCATCATAGAATAGTGATTATGGAATCAGAGGGAAACTTATAAATTTGGTTACGTCGTCTAACTAATAAGTGAGTGAACTTGAATTAAAAAAAACATCATTTCACGAAATTTAGTTTAGATCAATCTTATTCCCTTATCATTTTTGGTAATAGACTTCTCCTATCTTCATTTTCATTGTTCAGATAATATCTCACAGCCGTAAGATATCATAACTTTCAGTAACCTCATCGTTTCTTAACTTTAAACATTCGTTTCATGGAATTGTTCATCAGTAATCATTTGTACAGTGAATCAATTAGGAAACAGAAGACATTGCACACTTTCAATATTTCCACAAACACACTAGAACAACAGTCGTCCTGGGTGTGTGTTATCCTTACTTTCGTTGAACTGCTTGATCCACTTGAAAGGATAGGGATTTTTTTCGTTATATCATCTCTATAAACAGTCATCAGCATTTCATGAATTTCGTTTGCTTAATTCTGTCCATATTCAATAATCTTAGTAATTCAGTTCACTTATATTTTTTTTCTAAGTTAGTACTCGTATGCGATAAGTATCACGAACAAATTTATCATTCAATTAAATAAAATAAGCAAATATATTAAAATTTTCTGTTTCTGCGATCCCATCTCAAAAGTTAATACTAATAGGATTTACTTAGAAATTTCATTTTAAGGATGGATTCATTATACAAACCAATCACATAGCATTTGTTTACTTCAAACACCTAATACAATCTTAACTCAATTGGAATCTAAAGTTTTTATTGAAACTACTTAGTAGTTATGTATTAGGCAGGATAAATTAGTAGTAACAAAATTGATTACTTTTGTTAAAACATTTAAATTAAACTGTAGCATAAGAACAAAATGAATACTAACAGAACAATCTAAATTATTCGTTCTTACTTTGATATCAATAAATAAACTTCATACAATGTCTATTCCTCTACTATACAACTAAAATATTACAAATAAACAAGTTGTTTATGTTACTGGAGACTAATATATGATTAAAACATTCGTTAAAAAACTTCGGCGAGACTCTAATTTAGGGACGACCTTTGAACGAATCTTAAATGACCTTGACAATTATTAGCCAATCAGGAGACAGTTAGTATAAAGTAAAAATATATTATAAGAAAGTAATGAATTGCAGTGGATATTCTTCTTTTACATGATTGAAAAACGTGTTAAGGTTTGATAAAGGTTCAGAAATTCTGAATTCATAATGCATATGGTATAGAAACTCGTCCATAGGGTTAGGGTTTAGGGTTAAAGATTAGGGTTAGGGTTAGGTTAGCATTAGGGTTTAGGGTTAGGGTTAGGGTGCCAACATACGATCGGTTTACAACGGATTTTAGAGAAGAGGTGTTTATTGAGAGGCTACAACCCTAACCCTAAACCATAACCCTAGCCCTAGGCTACAACCCGAACCCTAACCTCTAACCCGAAACCCAAACCCTATGGACGAGTTTCTATACAATATGCCTTATGAATTCAGAACTTCTGAACCTTTATCAAACCTTAACAAGTTTTTAAATCATGTAAAAGAAGAATATCCACTGTAATTCATTACTTTTTTATAATATATTTTTACTTTATACTGTCTTCTGATTGACTAATAATTGAAATTGCTCACTCTTCTGATTGGCTCGTCCCTAAATTAGAGTTTCGCCGTCCCATCTGTTTTAACCTCTCATTAATCACCTCCTCACCAAAATCCGTTGTGAACCGACCGTATGTTAGCATCGCGTATTGAACTTGGCTCCGTGACCTTGAAATTGCTCAGACGCTTCTGATTGGCTCGTCCCTAAATTAGAGTCGCTCCAAAACTCCATTCTTACCAAACGTCAAAAAAAATTGTCGATTATAAATTTCACTACTTGTAAGTAGCATAAAATGTTTAATATAAAAACATCGTTACCTTGTTTCAAATTAACCGTTAGTGATATATCATTAAGTAATAAATATAATTTTGCATTAATTACCTAAATAATTAATTGGTTTTCTATAAATTTTCTAAAGCCTTTCTCTTATTTTGTCAAACATAATCCATACAACTGTGTTTCTAACTTGCTTTTCTTTTTCGTTGAAAATCTTAATTGAGCTTGTTGGGTGTGTTTTAATAATTACCACTGATTTTCCCTAACGACTGATTTTTTCCTTTTTTATATTATCGTAATACTTGTTTTGTGATTAAAATACGAACTTATTCGACATATTTATGACGATAATAATGATGATGACAATAATTTGAAATGTAATGGTTTTATTTAATACTAAACCTATTGCTGTGTGCTGTGTATCTATGAATGCATATGAATGATTTGATTTCTACTTCCTATAAAACTATTAATGTTTGTTTCTTTTTCTTCTTTGCAGTTTTTATGTTTTTTCGAATGATATTACTTGTGTTTAGTTCTGTGTTGTTTATCATTATCATCATCATCATCACTGTTATTATTATTAATATTATTATCACTAACGTCCTCAACAAATCTCATCATTGTAACAACTAAATTATCTCTTTAAAGTCATTGAATCGTTATTTTTATGACTCATATATCTATCTATATCCGTATATTTGTGCATGGATGTGTCTTTTCAACGAAAGCCAATTTGATCACCTTCTTTCATCGATATTCCATTTAGATGACTGCATTTCAAATAAATTAACCTTAATGAGATTAAGGGGTTGAAACAAAAAAAGAGGAGAATAAGATTTCATTAGAGTATATATATATATATATCATTAAGGCTGTCAAGGTTATCTTTTACATAATCGTCATCATCATCAACATCGTGATCGTTCTCAGCTCCTTCTTTCTCATTATTATCTTCAATGATAACAAACTTACATTCTGATTGTATTGTTAATTAGTATACCAACAGAGATAGAATCACCACATAGGAAAAAAGAGTGTTTAATTAATTTCTTCAATAATATTTATAATCATTTATTGATTATAGGTAATAATAATAAGCACAAACAAGCGTATCATGTTTATAATAATGATCATAATAATAATCCATTTGAACAAGTATGAATGATGAAAGTTTTACCTTTATATAGAAAAAGAACATTAAAGTATGAAGGAATTAATGAGATGAGAATCATTATTTGGTAGGATGAATGAATTTTATCCATTTTATTTAAACATTTTTTTTCCGTTTCATTCTTCACTATGATTGATTTGTAATAGTTCGATAGTGTTTAATTAAATATGATGATTATTTGATAGTTACTGTTATACATTGAAACCCACCGACCAATGTCCATGTAGCTAGTCACCAATCAGAATTTGATTCTGATTTATTTACCTACCTACTTACTTACGCCATTTACCCCTTGTTGAATAACATAGGCCACCCACTACTAATCTACATCCAACTCTGTCCTCAATAATCCTTTCTAGTTCTTTCCAGCTCCTATTCGTCCTTTTCATCTCTGTTTACAATTCTAGATGCAGTGTGTTATTTAGCCGTTCTCTTTTCCGTTTCTATTCATGATTCTAAGTTGATGCTCGTCTTGATAAATAGACAATTATTCACAAATACTTGCATATTTTTAATGATGGTTGTAGTAGTTCTCCAAGTTTCAGCACCATACAACAGAACTGTGTTGACGTTCGTATTGAAGATTCTTATTTTAATATTGGTTGACAGACAGTTGTTTTGAGTTGCATATGTTGTTCAACTGTAGGAATGCTGTCCTCACTTTGCTAATCCTCACCCTTATGTTTGCACTGGATCCTCTTCGTTGATCGATGATGCTGGTGACTAGGTACGCGAAAGTTCCCACATTTTCCAGAGTTTCTTCATCAAGCGTCATTGGGTTGGTGCTCTTTGTGTTGCATTTAAGGATGTTTTTTGTCTAATAGTATAGAGGCTGCTGTCACACTGGCTGTATTCAACTCCATTTGTTCATGTTTATGAGATAGAAGAGCTAGGTCGTCTGCAAATCCTAATTGTCTCGTTGCTTCTAAGCGCTCGATTATATCCCGTACATCCAGTCAGAAGTCGAGGTTTTCATAATCCAGTCAACCACCAGAAGAAAGAGAAAGGGTGAGATACAGTAAGCAGCATTGTCTGACTCCGAACCTTACTTGCAATGCGTCTGTCAGCTGTCCTTCATGCACCACTTCTCAATTTAGTCCGTCGTATGAATTCTGTATGATATTTCCGATCTTCTCAGCTATTCATTCCATTGAGTCGAAGAATTTTCCATTATGTTCTCCTATCCACACTGTCAAATGCTTTCCCATAATCAAGGAATTTGATGTATAGTGATGGATTCAATCCAAATGATTGTTCAACGATGATCCGTAGTATCACGATTTGGTTTTCGCACGACTGATCATCAGGAAATCCGACCTTTTGATCTGGAAGGTGTGCGTCTGAATATTTCGTCCGCTTCAGTAAAACTCTGGAAATTTTCCCTGGCACTGATAGTGTATGATGTCTGTGTAGTTCACATATTTGCTCAGATCTCCTTTCTTTGATATACTGATGTAGTATCCTTCTTTTCAGCCTGTCTGTGGCACTTCTTCCTATTCCTAAATCCACTTGGATAGAATGTGGAGTATCTTTGCAGTCACTTCTATATGTTACTTCAGTACTTCAACTGGTATATTATCAGGTCTTGCTGCTTTCCCACTCGCCATTTTGTCTCGTGACCATCCTGATTTCTTTGATCGTTGGTAGAGTGACATCCATAGGAATATGTGTGTGTGCTGCTTCGATGTCTGTTGGATTCAATAGAGATGGTCTATGCAAGAGTTCCTCGAAGTATTCAGTTCATCTGTTACTCTGTTCTTGGAGCTCGGTGACTGACTTTCCTTCTTTGTTGTCGACTGTTCTGTCTGGTTCAATATATTCCTCTGCCAGTTTCTTTGTTGTATCATATGGCTGTTTGACATTTCCTTTTGTTGCAACTCTTTTCGTTGTCGTTGCTAGTTCTTCCACATATTTTTGTTTGTCGGATTTAATGCTCCTCCTTACTTGCTTGTTTGCTTCTGTGTATTTGGTTTGTGCCTTGACTCTCTCTGTTCTTGTTCGTTCGTTGTTAACTGATGTCTTCTTGCTCTTCCTTCCTTGAATCCTGTCCAGGGTTTCCACAGAGATCCATTCCTTATGATAATGCTTTTTGAGTCTCAGAATCTCCTCACACGTTGAAGTTAGTGGTTGTTTGATCGCTTTCCAACTGTCCTCCATGTTAGTTTCTTCTTCTTTGAGTAGATCTTGTAATGTTTGGAACGTGTTGTTGAGAGCTATTTTGAATAGTTTGAGTTTGTCATCATGTCGAAGGAATGCTGTATCGAAGCTTTGTAATGCTGTTTCTCGAGATATTCAGTGTTTCTTTAGCTTCAGTTTTATCTTGAAAACCATCAGTTGGTGGAGATCTGAAGCTATGTCAGCTTCTCTCGTAGTTCTCAAATCTTCTGCGTTTCTTATGAATTTTCTGTGGTGGAAATATGTTCAATCTGGTTGTGTGTATTGTGATCCGCTGAGGCCCATGAAGCTTTGTGTATGCGTTTATGGTGGAATATAGTTTCATCATAACGACTCTATTGAGTGCACGTAAATTTGCAAATCTCTCATCATTCTCGTTTCTTTATCTCAATCAGTCCATGTTGTCTCATGATATATTCAAACTCGGTGTTGTCCATCCCTACTTTGACGTTTAGATTTTCTCTCAGGATAGTCAGGTTGTATCCTGGGCCGTTCTGTATGGTCGATTGCGGCGTCTCATAAAACCGATCTTTATCGCCGTCGTTTCTATCATTGGTGGTTGCATAACATTGGATAACATTCATTATGATTCTCTCCTTCTTTGTCTCGACGAATGCTTTGATGATTATGGATCCATGAGATTCCCATCCTACAAGTGCTTTACGTGCTTCTTTGGATAATATCAGAGCAACTCCCTGAGTGTGCGAAGCATTTTTTCTTCATGAGCAGAGTGCAATAGCACCTAGTCCAAATCTAATTATTTCTGTCCAGCTTGGATTCAATGTGTTTCACTGATTCCGAGTACCATCAAGTTGTATCCTCACTTCGTAGCTATTTGATTGGTCCTTTCAGCCTCCCACATTGTCCGAACATTCCATGTACCTATACCAATTGTTGATCTTGTTGTTAGAAGGAGCTTTGGTCTCGTGGCTTCGCTATAATCCCAGCTTTCACCTTGATACGACATTATTTTTGTGAATGAAGATCCTTCGACTCGGAGGACAAAGTTTAAATGATTTAAATTGTTTATTTTGGTTAGTGTATTTTTAGCAAGGTTGTTTTCTATGGGATGGTATCGCTAACTCCTTATGATAATAGTTTATTGGTTAATTGAAAGCTTATAATCAATAGAATATGTAGACATAGTAACTTAGTTGTTCATTATTTATACAACAAAATTGTGATTAATAATATTTTGAAAAACCAATCATAACTTCAAGAGGTATTTTCTGCAGTTCTAGTGAGAAGCCATGATCAGTGGCGTTCATCCGGATCTGTTATGAGATAGGAACTCACTGAAGACTGTGACGGACGGTGACGCAATTTCATAGATTGGTTGAAGTTAGACATTAACACCATTGGACGCTAACTCAGTAGTTTAGAGATTAAGCGTTTGCGCTCGAAATCGAAGGTCCTGATTTCGACTTTTTCGAGCGGAATTATTTTGTTTAACAATCACAAATTCATATGCTATAACTTTAAACAATACACTTTAACCTAAACCTGTCCATTTATCGGATTATTCATTTGGATATGTGATAATTGTAGAACCATGAAGTGAATTCATCGAAAAGAATATTCTTCATTCAAATATTAGTCTCTTCATAAAAAAAGTTATGTTCAATTAGAAAAGGGATCAAAACATCGTCAAACGAATAAGAAATCAAAGTCCTATATTATCTATTCTATAAACGTCTTAAACAAATAACTATGATATACTACTATTATTCAACAATAATGGTATTAATGACAGTTTGATAAGTTGCTTTTATCGATTTTTACATAAAATTATGATAAATCTATGTCTATTGTTAATGTATTTCAAAAATCAATATTTGATGATCGGGGGGGAGGGGCTTTGTTTATTCTTACCAAAAGTAATCAGATCTCTAAGAGAAATCCTTTAAAATTCATTTAGATTGATTAGGAAATCTTTAAATTTTACTTGCATGCAGATGAGCAGGGGTCATTAAAAAAAGAAAATTCACTAAAATTTTAAGAGTAAAATGGATCAATATGATTTAGTGACCTGGTATCTAACTATAATTCGATCGAAAAAACTAATCGTTATTGAATGATTACTGTCAAAATATACATCCTATCTATCTTCGTATATAATCATTGACTTAAGTCATATTAGTGAATAATCGGATTAAATAAGTCAAGTACAAGAATATGTATATTTTGTACAATCATTGATCTAGGATGACAGTCAGAGGGACGAAAGGAAATAAGCGAAGCAAAATGGCACATAGTAGAAAAGGAGAGTGAGCCAACCAAGTGTGAATCGATATTTATAGTCAGACAAAAAATAGGTTACCGACATGTGATGAGTAGGATAAGAAATGCACACATACATGCTTACATAAGAACAGTCAAAGTTGATAAGTGAATAATTAACAAGGCTTAAATGTGACTATGGAAGAATGAATAGATTGACCTGTCCAGAAGCTAGAATAAGTTATATAAACTTAACATAGTAACCGACACTACATATACGTTATAGGAAATAGAAAAAATCAAACCCTTACATTCCTATTCATAAGTTAATATATAAATTTACTTTAAAGAAAAAGCTGTAAACATAAATATCACCAAATTATTTTTACATCAAAAGTTTATCCATCTCAATTAAATACTGAATTAATAGCTGAAAATGTTTTTTATCATTTTGAAGGTTTCTTATCCAGATAGCTAGAAGATAATAATAATTCATTGTATCAGAAGGGATTTTGTGGAGATGGTAGTAATTTCACTACTTGAGATCATGAGTCAATTGAAACCAGATCACCATGGAAAATCTGGAAGCACTGGACGGCCGTTTCGTCCTATTTTGGGACTACTCGGCAGTGCGCACCCACGACCTCGCCTCGCAGGACCTACCAGTCTCGCGCTTGACCATCGTCCAATGTTTCCAGGTTTTCCATAGTGGTCTAGCTTCAATTCACTCATGATCTCGACTATTGAAATAATTAATTGTTTTATGATCTTTAATTCACTATCTGATTCTTTATTATTATTTTTTTTCTCACTCATAAATAAATCATAATCATATTAATTAGATTAATTATTTTATAAAGGAATGATTATTTGATTTTTTCTATGGTGCTATGTTTGGAGAGATCCCGTGTTCACCTAGTCTGTGAACGGAACAAAGACTCTGTGACAAAAGACCAATAAGCTAGCTATTCTGACGCGTCCCAGCTCAGCTAACTAGAGAGAGAAATAGAAGTTCGAAACGGGGAAATATATTCCGCAACCAGCCAGAAGCACGAGCGATCCTGACACAGTCTAGTCGGAAATACACTCATTTATATATTGGTTTTTACATCCATTTTTGATTAATAATCAGAATAAACCACATATATGAAAAACAGTTCATACAAGAATGTCGTATATTATACAGAATAGAATGTCATAGGGGAAAACGAAACAAATACTATACATGCAGTGAATAAGAACATGAGTTGGACAACCGAGTGTATCTGGACACAAAATTACAGAACATCTCACTAAAATCTGACAACCATACAGTAAATAGTTAATTTGCAAAATATTAATCAATTGTCTCAAACTTGACTGTTCTTTTTGCAAATATCAGCCCATCATCTGAGATTTCATTGTTCATGTATTTTCATACAAATTGCTCTTTGTTTCCGTTCTTCCCCTCTCAATCTTCCACTGAAATACATTCTATGTCTGACCATCGTTATATACTACTTATATGGATATAAGTAGCTCACCACATGTACTGAGTAAGCATCGAATTGAATTAAAACGGGTTTAATGTTGAATAAAAATCATAATGATTAAATCGATCTAATTTTGACTTTATATCCTGTCATAACATCCTAACAGATATTCATCAAATATACTTAGTTATTTTTTTTCTGAAATCTACTTAATGATCATTTACATAAGGAGATTTCTAAATTGGGGTTACATGAATTGTCATTTTAGTATTTTAATAAATTGATTAAGTTATTATGGGAAAAATTATTTGGATTAAAATTATAAAACATATAAAAGTAATCAGTGCTTTTATAAACAAAGATGAATAGTGGTTAGCAGTTGGAGTCCAGGATGCGCATTTCATCTTATTTGGGAATGCTCAGCTAGATGTATATGTATCTCAGAGTTTATGTTCAACTTGGGACTCGAACCCAGTACTATTCACTTCCAATGCCATCATGTTATCCACTTAGCTACTGAGTCTTGTTAGCCACTTGCTAGTGCAATGAAGCGAAGTCTAAATTCATTTGGTATTGTTTAATTGAATCTTCATATAAATAGAACGAAGAGCCCGTCCTAGATTCCACTGCTAGCCACTATACATCTTTGCTTAGAATGCACTTGAATTAAGGCAATATCGAGGAAATACGCACAGTAAACACATATGCCAATAAGAGACTGATCAATTGCATTACTAAATCATCAATCGGAATATTCAATCAAACAATATCAAGTGAATTTCAACTTCATCTCATTGGACAAGCAAATGGCTATCAGGACTCAGTAGCTAAGTGGGTGACGGGATGGCGCTTAAAGCGAACAATACTGGATTCGAGTCGTAGAGTGAACATCAACATTAAGGGATCATTCAGTTTCGGATGAACATATCTATGAATTCTTGATTTATTTATTTGATTTTGAATGGTGGTTGCTGAATATCATTTTCCAAAGCGATATTTCTATGATAATTCGAAAGTTGTGTTATTGCTTTTATGATTATTTATATTTTATACATTATCCTACTTATAAATTAGTAAGTAAACAAAATAAATTAACTACAAACTTCAACATACAGATGTAATCTATTTATATGAATTGAAAAATCAAGAAAATAATTCATTGATTTATAAATTATTTATAAGATAATGAGAATGAATCAACATTTTCCATAGTTGAGTGATCTTTCAACTTTTAGTATAGTATAGCATTTTTCTTTGTTCTGTTTCAGTGTAGTTCTATTTATTTGAACACATAATTATTGATACAAATGGGCACCGAATACATATTCGCCACAAAATTCACTTGATTTGTGTGTGGGCTATGATACTGCCCGGGTGCCCATAGTGAAGCAGATGTTTTCTTAGGGAGCCAAACCCGGAGCCTTTGACCTAGAGGTCTGATCCACAAGGCAGTAGAGCAGCGTCA